AATTAAAAAAAAAAAAAAAAAAAGGTTTTTTTTTTAGTTGTGGATACACACAATATCTTTATTTTTTTAATGTGGTACTGAGGGTCGAACCTAGTGCCTCATACATGCTAGGCAAGTGCTCAACAGCCCCAGCCCCAGCCCATAGAATTTTTAACATTTCCAACAACATCAAATTATATGTTGTGGGTGAAAAATATTCCAGTTACCCTCATCTGATCATTACACATTAAACATGTATACTGAAATGCCACACTGTATCCCATAAACATGCAATTACTATGTGTCTATTTTAAAAGATCTTAATTTTAAAAAGTAAAGCTTCCTGCCAAGCCTGGTGCCACATGCCTATAATCCCAGCAGCTCTGGAGGCTGAGGCAGGAGGATCATGGGTTCAAAACCAGCCTCAACAAAAGCAAGGCACTAAGCAACTCAGTGAGACCCTGTCTCTAAATAAAATACAAAATAGGGCTGGGGATGTGGCTCAATAGTCGAGTACCTGAATTCAACCCTCAGTACCCACCTTCTCCCTCCCCCAAAAAAGTAAAGCTTCCAGCTTTTCTCTGTCTACTTTCTAACCTCTGCCCTGGTTCCCCATCCCCTAAAATACTCATGAACCAATCTCAAGCTTATACCTCTTTCTCTTTGGCTCGGATGTCATTTAAGAATTGATATGTTTTGTCAAACACCTCAGGATTATATTCTCCCGACAGATCATCAAAGCGGGGGTCCCGGGCCACCTTTGGAGAGAGTAGAGAGAATATAAAATACTGTTCAGTCTCCTTTCACTGAGAAACTGCTTCCTGCCTCTTCCTCACCTTTTTACTGACTGGAACAACCTGACGTAAAAATGGCACTCGAACCTTGGCTGACATCTCCAGAGGCCTATGGAGAAATTACAAGGATGGGTCAAGGAGACTCCAGTCTTGGTCAAAGGCTTCCCATCTGCCAACAAGAAAATAGACACCTAGCGGGGCATAGCAGTACACACCTGTAATCTAAGCTACTTGGAAGGCTGAAGCAGGAAGATTCCAAGTTCAAGTCTAGCCTGAACAATTTAGTGAGACCCTGTTTCAAAAATTAAAAAGTGATGGGGATGCAGCTCAGTAGTAAAGGACCCCTGGTTTCAAACACCAGTACCGTTAAAAAAAAAAAAAGAGGGAAAGCAAGCAGACCCCTATTCAAGATCCTGGGTATCCAACTCCTAAGATAAGCCTTACTTCTCACCTGTGCTTATCTGCAACACATGCATTTCGGACAGGTGGTCTAGAACACTGCTTCTTAGTGCTGTTTCCAGCTAACAATTGTTTGTATGTTTTGGTTCCCACTTGGCTCTGCAATTTCAACAGTTCCTCAAATGACATGTCAGCTATACC